CCCCAAAACCCCAAAACCCCAAAACCCCAAAACCCCTTTAATTAATAATATTTAATAATGCAGACTGCAAGAATCCAAGCAGATGTACTCCAACAGCCCCCTTCAGACATGGTTGGAGGAAAAATCTTCTTACCATACGTAGATCTGGACATCGACTGAAAAAACCTCAAGTTTGATTTTTTCTTCTTCCTCGCTTTATCCCTTGCCTGGCTTGGAATTTTAATATGGTGGTGTTCTCTAAATTGGAGATGGTACACCCACCAGCTTACACTAATGCAGAGAGTCCTTATTGTTATACCTGTACTTAAGTTAATAGACGTATTTTCATACTACCTTTTTATCGGCGAATGCCCATGGATAACAGAAGAAACAGAATATCAATCAAAATACTTAATAATGGCACTTGTTACCATATCATCCATCTATCAAAGTGTTGCAATGGGCCTATTTATGATGATAAGCTGTGGATGGACTCTTTTATATAACGAAGTTTCTAGAGAAATAGCAACCAGCGTGACAGTCTCAATGGGAGTAACTTACCTCTGATACAGCGCTTATTACGTTTCGATTCCTGACTCAGCCTTCAGAATGTTCATGGAATATTTCATGATCTTCCTGTATGTGTATATCTTCTATTTCTGATTTAAATTCACTCTTGAAACATTAAAAGTGTTTAATATTTTCATTCGCTACATGGAAGCTCATAATACCAGAATAATTATCGAAGCAACCACTTTGAAGAAAAGAATGATCTCCAGGTATTTTTTTATCTGCTGACTATATTTCGCGGTTTGTATTGTATTTCAAGGAATCATCCCATCAATTTCAGAATATTTTGTCAAAACTATGTACTTTACAACTACAGTTGATGTAATCCAACAAGCATTGGACTTAGTAATTCTTGGCGCACTTCTGTATAATTTCAGAGCAAGAGACTGGCCAAACTATTACTTGATAGTATCATACGAACTTGGGAACCTAGCCCAGGTTGCTCAAGGTGCTGAACAAGAGGTAAATATTAGTGAAGCCCAGGCATTATTCGGGAAATCACAATCTGATGACGAAATCCAGACAGAAGATCTTAGTGAAAAGAACGTTATTTTTATAAATCCATCTTATGAAGAGGAGTATGCAGAAATTGGGCTCCAGAAAATGGCTCAGGAAGGCAGGTTCTTCCAGTACTTCCGGATTGGCACCCAGGATGTTCCTAAAGATGTATCCGATAGTGCTGATTAATCTCTTTTGATATAATTATCCAAATTTTCAATATTTATTGATGAAAATGGGGTTTTGGGGTTTTGGGGTTTTGGGGTTTTGGGG